CGCAATTCTTCTGGCAGGATCAATTCATTTAAGTTAATATTTCACCATTTACTGACACAACCACGGCTCGCTCACTCAGAATTGATCTAAAACGCAACTGCCCTCGTGTTTTGCCGTAGGACAGCAATCGTGAGTAAATTTTCTGTGGTCTTTTAGGTCTGTAATATGAAGAGCGTGCAAAGTAAATATCTTAAGCAACAATGTGAAGGTGAATAACACATAACTGCAAAATTTGCCTTACTGGTATGTCTATTGGTACAATGCAGTGTTGCCAGAAATACGATAATTTCTACCTCTACGATGTACGATCAATAATGAAAAGAGAAAAAAAATCCAATAATGTATGATTTCATAATTTTATGACGATTCAAATGATGGTCATAGGGCTTCTATATTCATACACGAAATCGGCTCATCACAGACACTCTAAATGAGCTCATGCACACCTCAGAGTGTGTTAAAGGGGTCATATGATGCTTTTTTTAAAGATCATTATTTTGTGTATTTGGTGTAACAGAATATGTTGACATGCTTTAATGTTCAAAAAACACATTATTTTTCAAATACTATACATTATTGCAGGGTTCCTCAAATCTTACCCTGGAGGTCCAATGCGCTGCAGAGTTTAGCTCCAACCCTGATCTAACTCAGCTACCTGCGATTTTCTAATGATCCTGCGGCCATTGATTAGCATGCTCAGGTGTGTTTGATTAGGGTTAGAGCTAAACTCTGCAGGAAAGTGGGTGGGCCAGATTTGAAGATCCCTGCATTATTGTATGTCCTATATGCCCCGCCTCTCTCTCTCGTTTTCTGCAAAGTCCCTCCTTCCGACAAGCGCAGTCTGCTCCGATTGGCCAGCTGACCCAGTGCATTGTGATTGGCCGAACACCGCAAGCACTCGTCGGAAATGTAACGCCCCTTACCATGAAAGGAAAACTTGAAATCGCATCATATGACCCCTTTAAGAATGCATGAGGGTGCCCTGCTTTAAAGCCAACGTGCACTATGTTGCGGTCCATGATGGCAAGAATCCCCTCAACATCTGGCAACACACAGGCTTCTGATGACAGCGGCTCAGATGTGGAGTTAACAGCTGAAGTCTGTCTACACTGGATGTGACAAAGGGAGTGTTAAAAATCATTTTAATACGTCATAAATAGAACGAGGCATCAGTTTACTGTCGGGGTTGTCGTGTCACATCCAGTGCAAACAGTCACTGATTATAATGGTTTCTATAGTATTTCGTCGCACTGCTCGCGTCCAATGTAAACACGGTACGCCTAGTTATCTATTGTGGTAATTTGCAGGTAGTGTCAAAAAGTTGTTGGTTTAGATAGCTGTATTCTGTACGTTTGAGTCGTGTACGATAATTTTCTTCCAAATACGATAATTGAGCTTCTAGTATGATACTTGGACATTTCCAATCTGGCAACACGGGTACAATGTGTCACATGACTAAAAATGCATCATCGTTTTCAAAAGCCTCCGTTTCCACAGTCCATACTACAATGTGAAAACCGCATTTTCAGATTTATCCACTCTGAAAGCGTTTTAAAAGCTCTGTTTTCCTGGACTCCTTGTTTTAGTGTGGATGGAAGGCCAAAACGAGAGGAAAAGACGCGTTTTCAACAGAAACTTATTAATGTGGACAAGGCTTGAGGAGTTGCCAAATCTAGCAACAAATTTACTGCAACACAAACTAAGTCTGCAACACTGCAGGCTACCCAGGCATTTCAGCTTGTCCCGCTAAATGTCACTAACCCTTCCACTTTCTCGTGGCCTACAGCTATAGCAGCGGAAGCAAGTGTGAAGCTGCTTCCGCTTGCAACACAGGCCCTCACACCTCAGTATTTCCGTCCTGTGACTTCTAACCCACCCTTTTCCTTTCAGTGGCCTCCAGCTCCCGTAGCAGACGCTAATGTGAGGCTGCCTCCACTAGCAGTGCAGGCTACACAAGCTCTTCAGGACGTCACAACCCAACCCCCTTCCCATGGCCTACAGCATTTGTAACACAGGCCCACATCTCTTCCGCTCCCTCATGCTACTAATAACCATTTTTCTGTTCAGTGGCCTCCAGCTCCCGTAGCAGATGCTAGTGTGAGCACGCCTCCGCTAGTGGTGCAGACCCATCCACAGCCCTTGGAGGCAGAAAATGACGGTTTTCAAGTGGCAGTCTATGGAGCCATGGAATAAAAAAAAGATAAATTTGATTTTATATTTCAAAATTCTTTCTTTATTCTAGCAATTCCGAGATTATATCTCACAATTCTAATAAGGAAAAAACAACTCGTCATTCTCTCATTTCCCCTCGGCTCTTCTGGCTTTTTTCCCCTCAGATTTGACAAACTCACTATTTTTGAGTTAAGTCGAGTTATAAAGTCCGAATTAGGAGATATAAACTTGCATTTGCGAAAAAAGTCAGAATTGTGAGATAAAATAACTGTTATGTAAAAATGTTAATAAGGTTTAAATATTTCTAATAGTAAGGTTTAAATAATATTTCATGCTGTAACTGTAGGGCTAATACAATACGTCCCCTATGAACAGCATATGTGAATATGTAGACCTACTGTTTAAATCGAATTTATGCTTTAAAAGTAGAGTAATCATAGCAGTTTTCATCCATAGTATGTCCATTTAAACGTCTGCGTTTAGCTTCAAATGGCGTCTTTGACGACAGTATTCTATAAAAATTATTTGCATTCCGATCTTGACATCAAAAGGCACAAAAATATTTTTTCTTTGGAATGAAATCCATGAAATCATGGATTTTACCCATTTACCTACACTTGTTCGCAGTGTTTTTCTGCAACCACAATGTGCACGCAGCTGCATGTGACGTAACTGTGACGTCTACTCTAAATTGGTCTATAGGATGTAATTTGAATGTCCAGTAGTCCTCAAATAACATTATAGTCCTGTCTTGTCTTGTTAAGATGCGGCATGAATTTCGTCATACATTTTATCATCAGATATTAGTTTTAGCTCATCAACGTCTCGTCTTATTCACAGAAAAAAATGTTCGTTTACGAATATTTTTCGTCGTCATCTTCGTTGACAAAATGAACACTGCGTTGAGCACTGTACAGGCTCTCACGGTCGCCCTTAGTACATGTGTTTTTTTTTCTTTTGTAGATGCTAGATGCTAATAGAACCTGCTTCAGGAGAATAACATTATCTAAATATTTCAAAGAAATATTTTCAAAGAAAAATTGGAAGAAGGTGTTGACATATAATGGTTGTGACACAGGAAATATTAACATTAGGATTTAAAATATTCTAAAACCATAAAACTGACCAGAGCCTGTCTGACACTGATGTACTCTGCAGAGGTGCAATGTGGCAAGGGGGTCATTTAAAGTGTTTTTTTTTTTACATTTTAATGAATGTCTGACAGTGTTGACAAAAAGTGGGGACACAACTTTAAAAACCTTATGAAACATGCATGTGTCACTGAAATGCAGCCCCCACAAAACAACCTTGTTTTGATATGAGATAATTTATTAAGTGTTGCTTTTGATAAAACAAGCTCTTTTTCATCATTTAAAAAAACAAACTTTTATATCCATTTTATTGCATATGAATGCTTGAACCCTTCTCTGTGGACACACTGTTTTAGATGTAGTGAGAAGGCAATAAGTGTCATAGATTTGATATAATAATGATAAAATTAAAGGGGTCATATGACATTGCTAAAAAGAACATTATTTTGTGTATTTGGTGTAATATAATGTGTTTATGCGGCTTAAGGTAAAAAAAACACAATTTTCCACATAATGTACATTATTGTTGCTCCTCTATGCTCCGCCTTTCTGAAACGCGTCGATTTTTAACAAGCTCTTTTTCATCATTTAAAAACATTCTCTCCATTTTATAGCATATGCATGATGGAAACCTTCTCTGTGGACACACTGTTTTAGATGTAGTGAGAAGGCAATAAGTGTCATAGATTTGATATAATAATGATAAAATTAAAGGGGTCATATGACATTGCTAAAAAGAACATTATTTTGTGTATTTGGTGTAATATAATGTGTTTATGCGGCTTAAGGTAAAAAAAACACAATTTTCCACATAATGTACATTATTGTTGCTCCTCTATGCTCCGCCTTTCTGAAACGCGTCGATTTTTACAAAACTAATCATTCTAAAAAGCGAGGTGTACGCTGATTGGCCAGCTATCCAGTGCGTTTGAATCATCAGTGGCAAATTCTTTAAATATGAAAACGTACTTACAGGCTGTGATTTAGAAGCGCCAGACTGTCCTTGCAAAGTTGGAATTGCCCCACTTTATAGAAACAGCCTTTTGTAGGCTACTCTCCCAGGTTCAGGAAACCGTCCTCCATAAAATGCGCTGGACACATCTGAATATTTGGGTTGAACTGTTCTGGAACAGTGTTGTAAATACAACTTAACCACTGATTTCTAGGTATGTCCTCTTTTGGAAGACCAAACAAAGTGGTTTTACTTTCACAACGAAAAACACAGCATCTCCACGGCATGGCGGCGGCAACAATACTACAGCGAGAATCCAAGCTACGCCTTCTTTCTTTGGGTGAACATGTGGGCGGTGTTATGCAAATCTACCCACAGTGACGTAGACATGTGGGGGCGTGTTTAAACGAGGCGTTTTAGGAGGGCGTGGACTAGTCTTAACTTTTATAAAGAAAATCTCTTTGGGTTTGAGACTGTAGTCTTTGCAACGAACAGCTTGTAACACTCCAAAGAGAAAGGAAAACTTGAAATTGCATCATATGACCCCTTTAAATGGAAGGGGATAATTGTGTTAAATACATTTTATTATTGATCCCAAATGACATTTACATTGAAAATATTTTCATTTTTAAACCTAATAGCAGTTACCATTGCTGGACATGTTTTGTCCCATGTCTCAAGAATCAGTGTCCTGTAATTTAAAAGTGGCTAAAGGCAAAAATAGGAAACGTACTGTGTATTCAAAACCATAAGATTTTAAAGGAAGTGAAGATATGTTATCTTACCTTCATTCCATCGATACCTGGAATACCAGGTGGCCCAATGGAACCCTACAAGTGAAAATTACATATTGTCATTAGATATATTTAAAATAAATTAGATATTGGCATTTAGATAAAGACACGTTAGATAAACATGTCATGTGTAGATAAAGATACTGGCATTTAGATAAAGACATCCACCTAGATAAACCTCAGGCTGCAGACTTTTACACTCTGCTTGCCTCTTTTGATCTCAAGAGAGTGTTAACTACGGCTACTCACAAATCAGGCAACCAACTGGACCTTATTTACACACGACACTGCTCCACTGATCATGTACTGGTTACTCCACTGCACACCTCGGATCACTTCCTCCTCACTCTTAACCTCAACATGGTTCCTGACACAACACATACCCCTCCATGTGTCATCTTTCAACGTAACCTACACTCACTCTCACCCTCCCGGCTATCTGCTATGTTTCATCTTTGCTTCCTCCCCCTAAACCGTTATCATCTCTTGATGCTAACAGAGCTACTGATAATTTCTGCTCCACTCTTACATCTTGTTTAGACACTGTCTGCCCCTTGTCTTCCAGGCCAGGCCTTACCACCCCTTCTGCCCCTTGGCTGTCAGATGTTCTCCGCGGTTGGTTCTGCTGAAAGGGTATGGGTATGTCCTCCTCCTCCCCCTCCTTCATCAACTCTAACAGCTGACGACTTTGCCATGTTCTTCATTAATAAAATTAAAACCATCAATGCACAATTTTCCACACCACAATCTGTCAAGCACATCTTACCAGCAAACATACACTCGTTTACATCCTTCTCTTCACTCTCTGAGGCAGAAGTCTCCAAACTCATCTTTTCTAATCATCCTACTACTTGTCCGCTTGATCCTATTCCATCTCATCTCCTTCAAGCCATTTCTCCTGCAGTTGTACCTGCGCTCACTCACATCATTAACACATCCCTTCACACTGGTGTTTTTCCCTCAGCTGCCTTAGCTGCTCGCTGCTCCCTTTCATGCTGGATGAAGGACCATCACCTTCAACTCAACCTTGCCAGTACAGTACATATTAACTGACTCTATATATCTATTTGTCATTCAAAGTGATGACTTTTTTTTTTTTAAGTTTTGTGATCCCTCAGAACAGGCTTATGATTCTGTTGCTTATCTATGAACAGAAAACCCTGAGGGAGGTGTTGAAGTGTCATTTCTCACTGCTAGATCAAGAGTGGCCCCTAAGCGACAGCTATCCATGCCAAGGTTAGAACTGTGTGCTGCCCTCACTGGTGCTCGGTTAGCTTCTCTTGCCAATAGAGAGCTTACATTACACATATGTTCCTGTTTCCTCTGGACTTGCTTCACCACAGTCCTGACATGGCTACAGTCTGACTCCTGTCGCTTTAAGGTTTTTGTGGGCACCAGATTTGCCGAGATTCAGGAACTAATGGTCAAACCTGGCATTATATTGATTCTACCAATAATCCATCAGACAACATCACCCATGGAAAAACTTGGTAGAATTAGCAACAGATAAGTGCTGGAGACAAGGACCAGCATTTTTTTCTGGTAACCACAGGACCACCGGCCCATTACACCAGACCAAGGTATCATTGACAGTTGTGAACTGAGGGAATTTTTCTGCTGCAATCTGAAGATCACTCTTTCCCAGATCCAAATCTATGATGGCAAATCAATGCCATTAATAACCGAGCACAGCACTGATGCTGGCATGCATGGTAAATCACTTCCGCGAGAAGAAAACAGATCTAGACGGGAGGAAACGGGAGCCCGCAAGCTCATTTCAAACCCTTGTGACATGTAGTGATGGGACGATTGATACCGAGACTCCGATGCTCCGACGCAGTTTTCAAAGCCCTATTGTATCACACACTGTGCCGATGCTTGTATCAAAATGACAGTACCACGTGATTGATGGCGTTTGAAGCTTCGAACGTCATGCAGTATCGGAAGGTCGAGACAGCTGGTTTGAAAAAATTTGGCGCTTCGCATGACTCTTGTGTTTGACTTTACATTGACTTGGTTGTGTGTGTGTGTACACTTATTTGGGATTCAATAGAATAGTTTAGAATAACCTCAACACCAGACAGAAACTGAATGCACGTCACACCTCTATTGCATTTTATCATGTTCTATAGCTGAGGTCTCGGAGACCCCGAACAGCTCACCCAAAATATTTTAGCTACTACTCGCATCAATTATTAATTATAATCACACACTTGTATATTTTATATTATTGATCAATATGTGAATCCGTTGACTGGACTACGCATGACACGAGTTGGCACAGATTAAAAACTTTTTCAAACCATCCTCTGGGTTAAGGCTAGATGGCATACAGCAAAAACTACTGGGCATGCGCACATCAATATAGCGTAATTTTTCTCACACTGTACAACAATAATTACTATTTTTGCATTATTGTAAGGGGTAGGTTTAGGGTTGGGGTAGGTGTAGACGTTAATAAAACACAATCTAATACGTAGAAAATTCAATTTATTGTTAGCTTTTGGTTTTAGCTGGATCCTACGGTGGCAGAGAAGTGCACAACAAATCACAATTCTGAAAACAAAAGAACAAATTACAAACGCAAATGCAAGTCTAAAAAACTAAATTACAATTCAGAAAACACAACAACAATTCAGAAAACACAACAACAATTCAGAAAACACAACAACAATTCAGAAAACACAACAACAATTCAGAAAACATAAGTCAGAAAACACAATGACAAATTCGAAAACAAAATAAGTCAGAAAACACAACGACAATTCAGACAAACCGGAAAAGGTAGGTATAGTTTGAGACAGTGCCATTGGTTTGGGATTACTCACCGCTGACTGGACGAGACATCTGTCAATCAACGTATACAGGGAAGAACCAGCCGAAGAACAGCAGAGTCGTGGTAGAAAGTTCGGAGATGGTACTAAAGTAGCTCAGTTTAAATGTATTGTATGAATTGCTTTACTCTGGAATAAAAAATACGTGGTGTATATTTACATTTAGTTAAAAGTGGCTGTATAACATCAGCTCCAGTGGTGCAGATGGATAAGCGCTTGCCCTTGGCTTTTTGACGCGATCGACCCGAGTTCGATCCCGCCTTTTGCCGAACTTTTTTTCCCTCCCTTTTCAAATCTCGTATCACATTGTAAAGGCATTTATTTTCAATAAAAATTAAGGAAATAATCAAAAAGTTGAAAATAGAGTATCGGGTAGGGTTAGGGTAGGTGTAGGGAGGGTTTTATTGTATCAATAAGGTGGCATCCATTTAATAATTTAAATTTAAATTATAATTTACACTCAATACATTATTGCATACTGTTTTATAATGTACTGAAGTGCAGATAATTGCCACTATTTGCAACAAGTAGTATACTTGATAGTAGAAATCCTGCTATTTTAACATAGTGTAACTAGGTATTTGCACTGTGTAAATAGCATATTGCTAAAAATACTGCTATTTTCACTTAGTGTAAATAGAATCCATTGCTAATACGAGATTTGTAAAGGGAGGAAAAAAATCTTGGCAAAAGACGGGATCAAATGTTGGAGCTGATGTTTCACAGCCACTTTTTACTAAATGTAAATATACACCCCATATTTTTTATTCCATAGTAAGGGCAATTCATACAATACATTTAAACTGAGCTACTTTAATACCATCTCCGAACTTTCTACCACGACTCTGCTGTTCTTCGGCTGGTTCTTCCCTGTATACGTTGATTGACAGATGTCTCGTCCAGTCAGCGGTGAGTAATCCCAAACCAATGGCACTGTCTCAAACTATACCTACCTTTTCCGGTTTGTCTGAATTGTCGTTGTGTTTTCTGACTTGTTATTTTGTTTTCGAATTTGTCATTGTGTTTTCTGACTTTTTATAATGTTTTCTGAATTGTTGTTGTGTTTTCTGAATTGTTATTTTGTTTTTTAGACTTGCATTTGCATTTGTAATTTGTTCTTTTGTTTTCAGAATTGTGATTTGTTGTGCACTTCTCGGCCACCGTAGTATCCCGTCTAGCCACAACCCATCCTCTGCTCCGCGATGTTTTGTTAGATTTGGTAGAGAAACCAAGTCTGACCACCAGATGTCGCTAATGCACACTGTGTTAAAAGCTTCGAATAATGAACCATTTTTCGGCACAATTTCATGAAAGCCTCAAACGGTTCAAAAAGCCTCGGTTTCCCATCACTAGTGACATGTCCTCTGCACGCAATACAAGCCCTCGCGCGCACATGATCATTCCCCACATCCTCGCGCTCAATCTTCTCTCACCTGCTCGTGCGAACACTTTTATTTTTGTCAGTCGTGGGGCGGGGCTTGCTGTTTTAATTGTTACCTCAAATGTCATTGGTTATTCCCCTTTTCCGGAAGTCAGTATTGGACGCCTGTTATAAGATGATTCATAATTCACTTGACTTGACACATGGCTTCATCAGTGGACCATACATGTGAGTTATCATTTAATTGGCTTGTTTTTAATTTGCATTTAATCAGTCTTCTGATTTCTATTGCAGTCTTGTGATGATAAGAGATACACATATGAACCCTTTTTACAGACTGTAATGATGCACACACACACACACACACACACACACACACACACACACATATATATATATATATATATATATATATATATATACGCATTCCTGATATTATTGATCTTCTCAGAAAAAAAAGGAAGCAATTTAGGCCCAATCCCATTTCTACCCCTTAGCCCTTCCCCTTTCCCCTACCCCTCCGTTTGGTGCGTTCACGTGAAGGGGTAGGGGTGTCTCGATTCTCTTTTGGTTGGAGGGGTAGGGGTAAGGGGAAAGGCCAGATAGCCCTTCAAACAAAGATTTTTCAGGACCACACTTCAAATGAAGGGGTATGAATTATCTCGGCGTAAACCGGCTACAGCGGCAACATGGCTGCCCAAGTGAACAAAAAGACACATAAATGTAAGCATTTTTGGCATTAATAAAGATTTTAATGAAAAGTAATCATTTGTTTTATGTTACATTCAATCGTGAGTTCATAATTACGGTCATGATTTTCA